CGCTCCCCTCTCCTCCAGGGCAACATCCTCTGGTGGATTTAGCACCTGAGGACCTGGTTTAGCATCAAAGGACCATGGGATAAGGGAGGGAAAAGGGCTGTTTGGTTCTCCAGACACTGGCACATCGCTGCGAAAAGACTAAAATAGACCTAAATTTATATAGAGTTAAAAAAATAACTTAGGAGGCAACTTGCTACCTTTGGGGAGGGGAGCGAGGAGGTGGCTGTACAGGGCCCCTTGGGCATCGCTGATGGAGCTGAGCTCACATCATCCAGGGCTTAGGGAAAGGATTCCCATTCCTGTATTTATATATCTATATTTTCTGGACTGATTATCTCCTCTGATTATCTCAAAGCAACTGTGCGTTACCCTCTCACTTCCCAAAAGCCATCACACACCATTGCACCCACTTGTCCCCGGCCCCAACCTGCCTCGCTCCCCTTCCACGGGGCTCAATCCCGAGGCTGGATCAGAAAATCCCAATTTTCCTGCTTTTGGGCATTTTTTCCCTTCTCTTTGCTGCTGCAGCAGCTTTTCCTCACTGTTCCTCCACCCTCCGTGGGGAATATTTTGCCTCCCACTGACGCAGAAGGTCCAACATCACCTTGCAACACCCTCACAACAAACTATCTCTGCTTCCTAAAATCTCCCTGCTCCCTGGTTTTTTTTCCCTTTTAAAGCATTTTCTCATTTGGCACCAATTCCCAAATGCTTTTGCTCTCCCCCAAACCTGCAGTTTTTCCCCCCAAAATGAGAGGCTGAAGCAATTTTCTCTCACTTTAAGAGCTGAGGGAAAGTATTTGTTAACCACTTTGAGAGCTTTTATCAACACTTTTCCTGGGTTTTTTGGTTCTGCTTTCCCTCAGACTCTTTTTCAGACTCTTTTGGAGGATCCAAACCAAGAACCAGCTGTAGCTGTGCCCTTGGTAGCAGCTGGGACCAGGACACGTGGCAAGAGGTGGATAAAGAGGTTTAAAATCCTTCTTGGACAGAGCCAACCTGGGGATTCCCATTTTCCTTGAGCCCTGACATTCCAGCCCCCCAAGCTGGGGGCACAGGGATAAGGCAGGAGGAGGCAGCTGGTCCCTGCAGCATTCCCAGCTTCTGGGGGCTTAGAGCAATGGATAGCAAGCAAAACCCAACCCAAGGAGACAGAAGAACATGGATTTGGGATAAATTTGGCTCCCGAGCTGGCTTTGGTAATGTTCCTCTTGAGATTCTTGACCGGCACCCAAATACAAGGAAAGGAGAATGCTGGGAATGCTGGACATGGGCAAACTTGGGGAAAGCTTGTTAGAAAATCCCCAAAACTAGTCCTGCAGGAGCTATGTCTGGAACCACTGTCCATCCAGCTCCTGCCAGCTCTGCTTATCACTGTGACCCCAAATCTCACCCTGGATCTATGGATTTTACTGGGGATTGTCATCACAGAGCCCCTCTGGGGCTTCTCTAGTGTCTAGTATGGGACTGAGCTCCTGAATCAGCTGCATGATTTCAAGGAATTCCCAGGAAATTTGGTATTTCTGTGCATTTGCAGAGGAAATGGAGTTAAAACTCTGTGACACAAGTGGCCATGGGCAGTGTTGCCTGCGCATTCCATAGGGATAGGGGATTGCCAGCAGGGCCACACACCTGCAAGATGGAGAGGGAAAGCAGTAGGGAAATAACCCATATGACATTTCAGTGGAAGAAATACAGAGCTGTTAATGAGCTCGTTAACACCTGGGCAATTAGGAGCCACCAGGAAAGCCAGGGAGATGCAGGGCCCTGGTTACCATCAAGCCTGGTCACTGTGCCAACCACCTTCATCCCCAGCCGAGGAGGAGGATGAGGAGGAAGGGATCCATTCGATCCCAAGCCAAATGGGGAGAAAAACCCACTTTCCACCTTCTAATCCTTGAACCTGCTCAAGGTCTTGTGTCATCAGAGGATTTTTGTTAAAACATGGCTTTGCTGAGTTGGACTTTTTTGGAAAGCCCCAAGGGGGGTGATGGTTTGGTCTGGTCCTGGTGACACACCAAAGCACCAAATTTGGGTGAGGATGTCCTGCTGTGACCTACAAACCCTCGTGGCATCGGGACAGGGATGTCACACACCCACTCACATTCCTCAGCACCACAGCCACCAGCAGACATGGCCACCAACGCCACTGGCGAGCACAGAAGGTTTCTCCAAGAGTCCTCAACATCTCCCCCTCTTTCCGTCACCTCATCCTTGCCTTCCAATAGCCTGGTGGAGCTGGGATAGGCAAAGGGATCGCAGCAAACCTGGAGCAGCCACCTTCAGTCTTCAGACACGACTCTCCACCACGATAGTCTTTAAGCATAGAGTGTATAAACATGCTGAGTATATAATTTTCCTTTAAAATCTTTTGTTTCCTTCTTTCCGTTATAGAAATAAATACTTACTTTGTTTTTGTTTCTTTAAGGGAATTTCACAAGTCTCTGCTCTGTGATGGTGACATCTCTGCTGGGCCACACTCCTGGGATGGAGGCCTGGGATGGTCCCTGGGGGTGTAGCTTTGCTGGGTGGGTTTTTTTGCTGGTCAGGGCATTGTGTGCTCCTCTTGCCCTTGGATTCTGTGTGTCCCAGCCTCCTCGGGGTGGAGGTAAACCCATGGTGGGCATGGCAGGAACCTGGTCCTGGTGCCAGGGAGCTCATCCATGGGGACATGGTGGGATGTGGAAGTTTCTTGCAGGCATTTTTGGGGGCTTCCACATTTTGTGCATACAGGGAATAGCCTTCTCCTGGAAAGCTGCAGTCAGAGGGGGAGCAGAGATGCTTCAAACGGGGGCTATGGCCAAAACACCCTTACCCTGTTTCAGAGGAGACAGCATAGATGGGATGAAGGGTGATGAAGGGTCTCCTGAGGTGGGGTTGGAGATCCAGAAGCTGCTTCCAGCCCACCACCAGCTTCAACGATTCGGGACTGACTTTATTTCTTCTTGGGATCCTCACAGGCTGTTGTCATAGCCAAGGTCTGCAGCTTTCATGCTATAGATGAAGAAGGTGGTACCAGGATGGATCTGGAGCCTTCTCCCTCCTGAGGGTACACTCCATGTCAGCCCATCACCCTGGGAGGGCTGGAGGAAAGGGAGATGCTTTGGGAGGTGTCTCCTCACAGCCACACTGGCCAACAGGCACCAAAATCGCTGATCCAGAAAAGAGGTAAAAACTCCAAAACCTGCTTTTCCCAGTTGGCTCCTCTCCACACAGCACATTGAGTCCAAAGACACCTGGCTGGGGCTTGGGCTGGCCAGGGGCTGTGGTTAAGGCCAGTGTGTCCTTGCTGCTGGCAGTGCTGTGATGGGAGTCCCCAATTCCATGGCACCTCCTGGTACCTTCTTCCCAGGGTGGAGGATGGAGATGTCTGACCCTGCTAGATGCCTTTCCAAAGCCTTTTCCTATGGAAAGAGGGTATTTTTGGGATGATGATGTCCTTGCAGGCAGAAGATACCCAGAAGGAAAAAACAGAATTTAAAAAAACATCCATGGCCACAGATTAGGGTCTACCAGGACTGTTGGTTGGTGCTTGCACCAGCAGCTTTGGATTTCAGGATAATTTGGCCAGGATTTCTCCTTCAGGCTGCTTGGGAAGGCGATGAGATGGCAAACATGGATGTCCCATGCCAGTCCCTCTCTCCACATGGGACAGCTTGCTCTGGATGGAGTCTGAGCACATGGTGGATAGTGGGGACAGAAGCATGACCCATGTTTCCTGGTGGACAAGGATTTTGGAGATGGTTTATTGCCTTGGCAGGAAGGTTTAGGTGGAGAGAAAGTGAGGCTAGAAACCTCTGGAAGAGCAACCACCTCTCCTGGTGTCCTCTGACTCCTACAGCCCCCGAGTTGCAGCTCTGCCACCTGAGTTTGTGCTGTGGTGGCTGCTGGTTTCTGGGCAGTATCTCCCCAGGTTTGGGTTCCCCTTTGTTAGATGA